TTTGAGAGAGAGAGAATGAGAGATAGAGAGCACAAGAGGGAAGAGGGTCAGAGGGAGAAGCAGACTCCCTGCTGAGCAGGGAGCCCAATGCGGGATTTGATCCCGGGACTCCAGGATCATGACCTGAGCTGAAGGCAGTCGCTTAACCAACTGAGCCACCCAGGTGCCCTCTCTTAGCAACTTTCAAGTAGGTTGAATATAAGTGTTGTTACCGATAAATATTATGCTGTATGTTAGATAGACAGAATCTGTTCATCTTACAATTGGAAGTTTATACCCTTTGCCAACATTTCCCCATTCCCAAATCTCCAGCCAATGGTAACCATCATTCTACTCCCTGTTTCTAACAGTTCAGCATTTTTAATTTCCATAAGGAGGTGATATCATACAATATTTGTCCTTTTCTGTCTGACATTTTACTTATCACAATGCCTCAAGTTTTATCCAAGTTGTCAAAAATGGCAGGATTTCCTTCCTTCTTAGGGCTGAAAAACATATATATATATATATAACACTATATCTTCTTCATCTATATTCATCCATTGATGGGCTGAGGTTGTTTATATATCTTCCTGCAGAAATAATGTTTTCTTCTTTTCTGTAAATTATTTTGTAATTAGAATATAGAAATATATCTTTCAGGGGAAAATTCTGTTTGCAAAGGAGGGGTTAGTCATGTGAGAGCAGGAATCCTCTGCAGAAGCCCAAGTCCCATAGGGAACAGGTTGTAGTAAGGGCAGGCAAAGGGGAGGAAACAGGGCTGAGGAGCCCAGGATAACCACTCAGTTCTCCAGGGAAGCCTGTGCCAGACTGAGCACTCTCCACTCTGCCCAGAGTCATGCCAAGCCAGGCTCTGCTGCTCATCCTGCTCCTCTGTGTGCTGCTGCAGGCCCAGGGAGGGTACCGGAAACCGAAGATGATGCAGAGTAGGTGATGGACTAGGGGACAGGGAGGGGAAGGGGGCCAGGAAGGGCTGTGTCCTTTCTGAGGAGCACCTGGGAATTGGAACCTTTCAGCACATCCTGCTCAGACCACAGCACTATGAAGACTCTGGGTCCTCCCAAACCATGGCCCTCTGACCCCTTTACCCAGCCCTGGGAACAGTGATGGGGGTGGTGGGGGAACCTACGTCTTTTGATTCTCCATTCCAAATACCCAGACACAAACGGTACATAGAGTAGTGAAAGGTACAACACGGGCTGAGAATCACATGGGGAAACCAAACAACTATTCTTAGATTTCTGCACACATGTGACATGTTACATCCAGAAATGTTGGTGGGAGTAGTTGTAGAATGAAAGGACCATGGGAAAGCAAGTTTTGGGGTGTACAGGGTCAAGTCAAAGTTACCATCAGCGGGACCAGGATGGTGGTAGTGGAAGGGAAATAGTGCAAGTGGTATTTTCTGGGAAGAAGCAAGGACCCTGGAGAAAGTGACCGTGACAGGAGAGAGGGGGCAGAGTGGGAAGTCGTCTTCCTCTCTGGACCCTGCAAATTCTGGAGAGTGGGGAGGATCTGCAGGATGTCTGAGTCTCTGCTGAGTTCTCAGAGTGTAGATTCTATGGTGGGGGCCTTCATCAGGGCCATGACTAATGTGGGAGACAGGGTCTTGGCTGCAGAGTATGCAGAGCACCCAGGAAGGCCAGGTATTGAGATCTGTTGGGGGAAAATGAGGGGATATAGGATTTAAGATACTACCAATCACCAGGATTGAGTGAAGGGCAGAGAGTGAGTTCTCTGACAAGTCCAAGAGCATCATGAGTAGGACCTGGGTTCCGGAGTCTTTGAGGGAGGATTTGAAAGGAGAGCTCTCAAGGGATCTGGTTGCACTGACCCTGTTCCTGCTCTGCTTCAAAAACAGAGCTATTCAAAGAAATCAAGGTCTGTTGAAAGCATACCAGCATATACATGTGCAGATGCCCATGTGAATATCATCAAGGCTGTCAAACAAATAACATGCTGTTCGACCTTCTGCAGGAACATTTGTATGAGCCTCCAGTGAGTGGGTGAGGGGGCTGGGCTGTGCATCTTGTTCCTCCAAATCTCTCTTCATACAAAGGCACAAGGAACTCAGATCCCGGGCACCAGGATGCCAACAGGAATGCACCCTCCCCCCTGTCTGAACTGCTTGTTCCTGTCAAATAAACCAGAACAAATGTCCACAGATCTGCTCATTTTAGTCCCAGTGCTTGTGATCATCGAGGACCCAGGGCAGACCCCAAAGTGGCCCGCTCTCTTGGTCCAGGTCTCTGATCTCTCTCCCCTTGTCATTCTTCTCTATTTTCTCTCCCGTTGGCCCCCGCACCCCTGCCAGGTCCCCAGGGCCCAGCCTTATTGTTGATCTGCTCACTGAACCAGTACTCCCAGGGAGAAACTGCTCATGTGTGGTATCTCCAATGCTAACCAGAACATTCCTCAGCCTGGGGTCAGAAGGGCCAAGTTAAACATGAGGCAGGCGGAGGCTAGACCCTGGCCACAGAGTAGGAGGTCCCCAGGGAGATTTCTTCTTAAACTTGACCCACCCCCACCCCATTCTCCCCATTCTCCTTGTGAGGTTCAGATAACTGTCCTTTTACAATGAAGAAAACCAATCCGAGGGAAGTTAAGGCACATGCTCAAGGCAAAAGAGAGTGAGAGGTCATGATGTAGCTAGAGGAGGATGTTTGTCTGGACCTCCTGTTTGCTCACAGCTCCTCCATTATGGGGAGACCATGTGCATGGAAGTGAGTGTCCACACTAACATCTCCCACCCCATTCGCCATCAATATGGCCACTCTTGGGACGGGGCCTGGAACGAGGTACCAGGACCTGAGATTCCAGGGCCTTCCATCAACTGAATAGTCCCCACCTTTCCCCAAGCCCCCTCCATAGGGTCTCATTCTCTCCCTTTTCTAAATCCAGGGAGAAACCACATGGTGGACAATAGGTGATTAAAGGTTATTAAGGATTAATTGGCTACTAAGGGTGGCTATGGGTGTTGTCCATGGTCCCAGGGAGAATCGGTGGACCTTAATCACTGAGGGACAGACTCCGGACCACTCTGTGCAAGCACAGCTGCTCTGAGGTGGTCCTGGGGCTAAATCCAGGGACTAGGTCCCATGTGCCCAGTGGGGACATGGAGTCAAGTGGGAAGAATTCAAGGCAGGCAGGTGGGCCTTGCTGGGGGCAGGTGTGCAGTGTCACACTCCAGTCCAGTGTTTCCTGCTGAGCATCAGTGAAGGATTGTCCAGAGGAGGAAACCTGCCTCTCTCAGGCCAGAGCCTCTGGCCCACCTCAGAAGCATTCCAGGGCTCCTGGTATCGGAGGAGCTTCTCCACCTCTCCTCGGACCTGCCCTTGGACCAGGAGACCTTAGGAAAGAGATCATGATCAACCAGCCCTTGGACCAGGAGACCTTAGGAAAGAGATTATGATCAACCAGTAGCACAGACATCATCAGACACAGGTGGGCGGTGAGAGCATACTCTGCAGGAGCTCTGACTTGGTACTTCCTCACATAGCCTGACTCTGCAAGCATCTTCCCAGTGCTTGGCCATGCCCCAAACACCCTGGGAGAGACTATTAAGAGAAGCAAGGTTACCTGCCAGGGCCCACATAAGGAGTGACCTCCCATGTCTACAACCAGTGCTCCCTACCATGTGGGTACACCATGCTGCCGGCTGACCTATTCTTTGCCACTGGCATGAGCACCTCAGACCATGAATTCTACTGGAAGCAGCTGGTCTTCTCCATCGTGATAACTGGTGTCCTGGCCTGTGTTCCACAGAGCTCCCTGGACACTCACTCTACCCTGCCCCAGTGGACTCAGAGGCTACACCTAGAATGCTTTGACTGGTGGAGTGCTTGCCTGGCCAGCACTCCATGTTCTGTCCTATGGAACAGCTGTGTGCCCCTATGGTAGGTCGAGTGGAGGAGTGGGGACCCCTGCAAGGCCTTGACTCTCATGGAGGCAGAGGAGGGAGCAAACATTAATTCTGCCATGACTTGGGTGTCCAAATAGCCAAGTCCCAGCCTGCAGAGATTCGTTGATCAAGCTGGTCTGTCTGTGACAAACACACGGCCTCACGGTTGTCGGGTTTCTGCATAATTGTTCTCCCCTCATGCTCCAACCATGCTCCTAGCAAATTCTCTCTTCCCAACCCCTCTTCTTGATCATCAGAAGTAGCTTTCTCACATGTAGAGACTCAGCACACAACTTCACTCTCTTATTCAGGACTAAGTCATCTCCTCGGCCCTGTGACATAATAGAGCTTGAAGAGACTTTGATCACTGAATATCCCACAGGACATCATGCTGCTCTTTCAGGTCATTTACATTGTGCTAACTGGCCATGGGGAAATAGTAGGTATCCTAAGTGCTTTATCATGTGCATGCCAGAGTGTAGGAGATACACCTGATGATATCCCAGACTTTCCATATTGGTGAATTTCCAGAGATCTAGTGGCCTGGGGCTGATGGGGACAGTCTTTTGAGACAGGAGACAAGTTTCTACACCTTATATTGCTTACTGTTTAGAAAGACACAATGCGTGGTGGGCCTTTTGGATTTTGCGGATAATATCGGCCACTTTTGGGCATTCTCCCTTCATCTATTTCCTTGGGGAATGTAAAGCTGCTAGTTCTGAGTGAGACTCAGATTACAAAAAGATGCTGCAGTAAGCCCAGGATGTGTTGAAAGTTGCCTGCCAGCTGGGTCTTAGCACCTAGCATACGCATTTTACTAAATGTGTCTGTGGCAGATTAGGATGCTGATAGAACCATTGCATGTCCAAGTAGGAGAATCGCAGAACACACACTTGGATTATTGAGGTCAGGCCTTGTCCTTTTCTGTTGACGGGTGCTTTCCATTTGAGAAGAAGCTCTCTACTTGCTAGTGGACCCTGGTAAAAGACTGCATGCCTGACCATGGGACATCGAGTCACTCTACAACTGGAATTTTCCATCAGAAATTAGGAGTTATCTGACCTATGAAGTCTTAAATTGGGATGTGCATAGAGGCAGTCCATCATCAAATGGAAATGGTATAAATGCGAATGGGCCCAATCAGACCATTTCTTCTGAAATAAGTAACCTATGCAATGAAGTGTTTGGGCCCTAAGGACCCACTGATATCTCCTCTTGCTTCATTCTTGCCCATTGCCACTAAGTCTCCAAAAGGACCTTCCCTTTCCACACCACCACGCATTCCCTAAGAAGTGGTGTCTTCTCATGTCTGCCTGTTTGCATCCCTCCTACTTTCCAATCCCTTCCTTACACTTTTTCAGGAACCAGAGATCTCATCTACCAGGTGTCAGCCTTGCCCTGGGTATTCCTCCATTCATTTTCAGACTTTCATTTTGTGAGGGTGATTTTACCTGTGTTCTATGCTAAGCCCTCTGCTCCTATCTCATTTCCATGCAGTCTCTGCAGTCTCTGTGTGTATGTGTCTGCTGTTAACCTTAAAAATAAAACCGTCAGCTATTTTACCAGCAAAAATGTGTTAATTTGGGAATAGCTGAGAATTGCAATTCAGGGCAAACAAGCTTTGGCAGAACCATAGGCAAGTCCAGAGATCAAAGGAGAGGAATGCTCCTTTATAGAGGAAAATAGGAATTAACTGGGAGTTCCAAGTAGAATGGGCTTTTTATTGCCTGGGTTGTGATAGTCTCTTATTGGCTGGGCTATTGCCAGGGGAGGAGCAAAACCTTTCTTTCTCTTGCTGTAACCACAAAGTACTAAGTAGCTAAGTAAGGTGTGATCCACTTGCAAGGAACATTTCCTGTTGGGTCTGCAATTGAGGACAAGTAGTATGGTGTGAGAGTTCCCCCTGGTGGCCTCCCAACTCCATTTCAGTGAGGTTTTCCTTTATGAATTTTCACCCTGAATCTCTAGGGACTCCAACAGTACTAATCCGAATCTGCTGGATTTGAGTGTTTTATTTCTTTGCTCACAGATCGCTTGAAATTTGTAGCATTCACTATTTCCTCACTAGACGGAGGCTATGAGTTATGGATTGATTTATTTGCTTTCCTTGTTGATCTGTATGTTTTTTTTTTGTTTGTTTGTATTAGTTTCAGAGGTAGAATTTAGTGATTCATCAGTTGCATATAACACCCAGTCTAATTACATCAAGGGCCATCCTTAATGCCCATCACCCAGTTACCCCTTCCTCCCCCCACTTCCCCTCCAGCAACCCTCACTTTGTTTCCTAGAGTTCAATGTCTTATGGTTTGCCTCCCTCTCAATTTTCTTTTTTTAAAGATTTTATTTATTTGAGAGAGAAAGCAAGAGAGAGAAGGGGAGAGAGAGAGAACGAGCAGGGGGAAGGGGGAGAAGGAGAGGGAGAGGCAGGCTCCCCACTGAGCAGGGAGCCTGATGCAGGACTCGATCCCAGGATCCTGGGATCATGACCTGAGCCAGAGGCAGATGCTTAACCAACTGAGCCACTCAGGTGCCCTCAATTTTCATCTTATTTTATTTTTCCTTCCCTTCCCCTCTGTTCATCTGTCTTGTTTCTTAAAATCCACATATGAGCGAAATCCAATCCTTTATCTTCCTCTTACTGACTTATTTCACTTAGCATAATACCCTCTAGTTCTATCCAGGTCATTGCAAATGGCAAGATTTCATTCTTTTTGATGGCTGAGTAATATTCCATTATAAATACATACCACATCTTGTTTATCCATTCATCTGTTGGTGGACATCTTGGGCTCTTTCTATATTTTGGCTATTGTGGACATTGCTGCTATAAACATTGAGGTGCATGCGCCCCTTCGAATCACTATGTTTGTATCCTTTGGATAAATACCTACTAGTGTGATTGCTGGGTCCTAAGAAAGTTCTACTTCTAACTTTTCAAGGAACCTCCATACTGTTTTCCAGAGTGGCTGCACCAGTTTGCATTCCCACCAGTAGTATAAGAGGGTTCCCCTTTCTCCGCATCCTAGCCAACATCTGTCGTTTCCTGACTTGTTAATTTTAGCCATTCTGACTGGTATGAGGTGGTATCTCACTGTGGTTTTGATTTGTATTTCCCTGATGCTGAGTGATGTTGAGCATTTTTCATGTGTCTGTTGGCCATTTGTATGTCTTCTTTGGAGAAATGTCTGTTCATGTCTTCTGCCCATTTCTTGATTTTTTATTTGTTGGGTGTTGAGTTAGATAAGTTCTTTATAGATATTGAATACTAGCCCTTTATCTGATATGTCATTTGCAGATATCTTCTCCCATTCCATAGGTTGCCTTTTAGTTCTGTTGACTCTCTCCTTTGCTATGCAAAAGCTTTTTGATCTTGATGAAGTCCCAATAGTTCATTTTTGCTTTTGTTTCTCTTGGAGACATGTTTAGCAAGAAGTTGCTGTGGCCGAGGTCAAAGAGTTTGCTGCCTGTTGTCCTCTAGAATTTTGCTGGATTCCTGTCTCACATTTAGGTCTTTCATCCATTTTGAGACTATTTTTGTGTATGGTGTCAGGAAATGGTCCAGTTTCATTCTTCTGCATGTGGCTGTCCAATTTCCCCAACACGATTAGTTGAAGAGGCTGTATTTTTTCCATTGGATATTCTTTCCTGCTTTATCAAAGATTAGTTGCAATAGAGTTGAGGGTTCATTTCTGGGTTCTCTATTCTGTTTCATTGATCTATGTGTCTGTTTTTGTGCCAACACCATACTGTCTTGATGATTACAGCTTTGTAATACAGCTTGAAGTCTGGAATCGTGATGCTTCCAGCTCTGGTTTTCTTTTTCAATATCAATTTGGCTATTTGGGGTCTTTCTGGTTCCATGCAAATTTTAGGATTGTTTGTTCCAGCTCTATGAAAAATGCTTATGGTACCGCCATACTGTTTTCTACAGAAGCTGCACCATTGTACATTCATTCCCATCAACACTGTACAAGGTTCCACATCTCCACATCCTTGCTAATACTTGTTTTTTTGTTTTGATAGTAGCCATCCTAATGGGTGTGAGAGGGTATCCCATTGAAGTTTTGATTTGCATTTCCGTAATGATTAGTAATGTGGAGCATATTTTCATGTGCTTGTTGGCCTTTTGCACATCTTCTCTGGAGAAATGTCTATTCCAGTCTTTGACTATTTTTAAATCTAGTTGTTTGTTTTTTTGATGTTGAGTTTTAGGAGCTGTGTCTATATTCTGGATATTAATTCTTTATCAGATGTATGGTTTACAAATATTTTCTCCCATTCTATGGGTAGTCTTTTTACTCTGTTGATAGTGTCTTTTGATGCACAAAATTTTTAAATTTTCAATTTGTTTATTTTTTCTTTTACCTGTGTCTCTCTTGCTATATCCAAGAAATCACTGCTAAATCCAATGACACTAAGATTTTCCCTGGGTTTTCCTGTAAGCGTTTTGTAGTTTTAGGTCTTACATTTATGTCTTTGATCCATTCTGATTTGATTTTTGTATATGGTGTTAGGTGAAGGTCCAATGTCATTCACTTGCAGCTGAATATGTAGTTTTCCCAGCACCATGTGTTGAAAACACCGTCCTTTCCCCATTGACTGGTCTTGGCATCTTTGTCAAAAAATCATTGACTCTACATTCAAAGGTTTATTTCTGGGCTCTTCCTTCTATTCCGTTGGTTTATATGTCTTTCTTTACTCCAGTATCACACCGTTTTAATCATTGAAGCTCTGTATTAAGCTTTGAAATCAAGAACTGTAAGCCCTCCAGCTTTATTCTTCTTTTTCAAGATTATTTTGGCTATTTGGAGTCCCTTTGGGATACCATACATATTTTAGTATGGGTTTTTCTATTTATGCAAAAACATTATTGGGATTTTAGAAGGGATTGCACTGAATCTGCAGATCACTTTGAGTAGTATTGGCATCTTAATATTAATTCTTCCCATCTATAAACATTGGATGTATTTCCATTTATTTATGTCTTCAATTTCT